TTTTGTCTTTGAATAGAGTCTTTATCTACGAAAGTGTCGTTTGAATACGTTTTCTACATTTGGTGCCGAGACCCGGGAATTGAAACTGGGATTCTAGCGTTGTGAAGAACGTCTCAAAGGAAGCTGTTGTGAAGTCAAAGCTGCACTAGCTGAAAGCACGTGGGCGACCAATTATGCCGCCGAAATTGAGGAATTTGAAAAAATTTCGCGATGGTCACCGAAAGTTCGTCCAGAAAACTATCGAACAAGCCAAAGGGCTAATCTCTGAAGGCAATTCCATCGAAGTGAAAAGGCTGAAATTTCTTCGAACCGCCCTTGAAACGAAAATGTCGGAGCTTCAATCGCTCGACCGCGAAATTGTGGAGCTGGTGGACGACGTAAAAACCATCGATACCGAAGTCTCTGAGAGCTGTGAGATAATGAGTTCCATTCAGGAGTGTATTGTTGAGTTAGAATCTGTTTTGGAAGCTCAAGAAATGCAGGGTAAGAGTCAGGAATTCCCTTCTGTGGCGCAACTTCCTCCTTCCGAAAGCGCGGGAACTTCTCAAGATCACGTTTCGAAGGCAAAGTTGCCGAAGCTCGAGCTTAAGAAGTTTCACGGAAATCCCATACACTGGTATCCCTTTTGGGAATCTTTCGAGTCTGCGGTTCATAAGAACCCAAATTTGTCTTCAGTGGATAAATTCAATTATTTGCAGTCACTTCTTACTGGCACCGCGCGTAGTACGATCGCTGGTCTGGCCCTGACGAGTGCAAACTACGAAAAGGCAGTTGGACTGCTTAAACAAAGATTCGGAAATCGACAGATAGTGATCTCCAGCCACATGGAAGTGCTCACTAAACTCCCCAAGGTGGAATCGATAAGCGAAGTAAAGAAACTCCGAAGCTTGTACGACACAGTGGAATCTCATGTTCGTGGATTGGAAAGTATGGAAATCTCATCTGAAATGTATGGTTGCTTCTTGACACCAATCGTTATGCAGAAATTACCGGAGGAATTTCGGATCGCTATCACACGAAATTTGGAATCGGAGACATGGAATCTGAAAGATATTTTGGGTGAATTTCACAAGGAACTGCAACTGAGAGAACAATGTCTTGTCAATAACAAGGATTCCAGGCCTTCACATCAGAGAGGTGAGTCGCCATTTTCTACATCAGCTTTGTACACTGACAGTTCTGAGAATAAACAGTCTCCTCGTGTTTGGTGCTCATTCTGTAATCAAAATCATCAGAGCTCTAAATGTAATGTTGTCACAAGTATTGAATCTAGAAGGGAAGTTCTTAAAAGGAAGGGCAAGTGTTTTCTCTGTCTCAAGCAAGGACATTTGGCACGTAACTGTCAAGCACCTATGAAGTGTCTTAAATGTCAAGGTGCCCATCATGTAGCAATTTGTGGTAACCCTGATCCAACCCTGGGTGGGCAAGATCGAGAACATGTGGCCAGTGTCTCTACTAGTATGTATGTGGATCAGTCTAGAGGGTCGGTGTTGTTGCAAACCGCAACCGCTGAAGTTGTGCATCCGGATAATGACAGTTTTCCACTAAGTGTTCGTCTGGTTTTTGACTCATGCAGTCAGCGATCATACATG